CCTGTCCTCTCCACCTGCAGTCTCATGTGTCTCTCTTTCTAGTCAGGTGCTTTGACAGTGCCTGGAACAGGACCCCAGGCACCGGTGGGTCCCCACTCAGAATAAATTCTGTCTCCATTCTGCATCCTTCGCTCACATGTGGGAGAAGGGATCTCTGGACAACCAGCATCTGTCTCCCTTGTGACCTTCCACAGGAGCATCGATTTCCAGAGGAGACCTGTTCTCTACAGTGTCAGGGGCTCTAAGTGAGAGCTCGCAGGGTGGACGTTTTTTGTGCCCAGCCCCCTGAAAAAGACCCTGCTAAATGAGTATTTTTCTCCAACATTTCCCAGGCTTGTCATGGAGAAAAGGGGCCATTTCCCGCTACAGCCTCCGGCAACCATATGGAATTCTGCTGACTTCTCTGTGGGGTCCTTTGCATTCCCTGCAAAGTTTCTGTGTTACTGGGATCTGGGATGACATGGAAGGTTTGTAAGGGGGCCGATAGGATAGCATGCATTATGGCAGGATTCTGAAGACAGACAAAATCAGCCTGGAAACAAAGGCTGATTTTATAACCAGGAGCCTAATTAGTGAGGGACACAATCTACCAATGTGTGCGGTGGATTCACCAACCCTGCCTTTTCTCAGCCAAGACGGGGTGCTTGTTTAAAAGAGTCGTGCTGGAAATGAAATGCAGGGAGAGCTCTAGTTTTGGCTCCCAGCCTTTTCAGACAAACGGACCCTTTCAGGACGCTGATTTGTTTTGCCTCCCCGCCTACATTTCCCCTCACTTCTCAAGGACTTGCTTAGGAAATTCCAAGGAACGATAGGAAGGCATCACACTCGCTGTTATTGATGTTCTTGTTTGTACCAGATAATTATAAAATGAACCATTTGAAATGTGGCTGTTGCCTTGACACATCTGTGCATGGTACGTAGAGCTGCATAAGCAAGCCCCTGTGAGTAAGAAATGTCAGTCCGGACTGATTTCCCTAGTGCTTTTTATGGAGCCCGTGTTAAGAGGCGGCAAATATCTCAACTTGTGGGGACCTTCTGACTTGTGCAGGTAGAAATGTGTTGAGGGAAAGGTGGGGTTGGAGGAGGAAAATCACAGCCCTTTGTTGAACATCTAAGATGTCTCATGGAGGATGTCTGAGTGCTTGTGTGTGAGTTGGAAGGAGGTCTCTGGTGTAGAAATGGCCAGACTGGGTCAAAACAAACCCCCCTCCAATTCAGAATCCATCTCCGAGCTGAGCAAATGCCACAAGGTTTAAGAAGCTGAAGAAGCAAGTGGGGATCAACCCTGCTCCCATTGCAATTACTTCCTGACCATTAGTGGTTTCGTAACACCCTGAATCATGAGGTTTAGTATCCCTCCCACAACCGTTTGTTTGTTTGAGTGATATTCCTCATAGCTTTGGAAATGTCCATTCCCTCTTTTCATTTTAATCCAGGTTTCAGCCTGGAAACCATCCTGCGGCGATGAGTTCCTACTTCCTGAATGTGTGACTATGTCTTTGGTTCATATTTGAATGAAATGTCATGGGCTTTCTCTTTGTTGCTAGGCCAGGAGACAGGGGGACAGAATCCCTCAAGCTCTTTTCTCTGTCCCATTTTCATTGCATCATGGTCCCGCTTGCGCCCATTTTCATGGTCCCTCCAGCACTTTATACATCACTCAGCTCTCTATCCTCTCGCCGTAGCACTTGGCTGACTTCTGCGCTGCTCAGCAAGGCTGCTGCGTGTAAGCAAGTGGCGCAAGCGAACATTTGAGCTCTGCGCTCACCATGCAGCACGGGGAGCACGGAGCCCAAACAGCCATTTGGGCTCCGTTGTCCCCCGAGTGAGAGGCAGGAGGGGGAGGAGAAGAGAAAGAGAGAGACAGAGAGAGAGGCAGGAGGCGAAGGAGAGCTGAGAGAGAGAGGGGGAGGCAGTAGGAGGAACACAGAGAGAGAGAGAGACGGAGCGAGAGACCAGAGGCTCAGGAGAGAAGACCAATGTGGAGGAGAGACCTGAAAATCCTGTTTTATGACGGGCTAATTGGCTAGTATAATAAGAAAAGCCAAAAAGGATTATGAAGAACAGTTAGCAAAAACTCAAAAGGTAATAAAAAATGTTTTTTAAGTACATCAGAAGCAAGAAGCCCGCTAAACAACCAGTGGGGCCCCTGGACAATCGAGATACAAAAGAAGCACTTAAAGATGATAAAGTCATTGTAAAGAAACTAAAAGAATTCTTTGCTTCAGTCTTCACGGCTGAGGATGTTAGGGGAATTCCCAAACCTGACCCGTTCTTTGTAGGTGACAAATCTGAGGACTTGTGTACAGTGTACTTAGATCCCCAGAAAGCCTTTGACAATGTCCCTCACCAAAGGCTCTTGAACAAAGTAAGTTATCGTGAGATAAGAGGGAAGGTACTTTCATGGACTGATAACTCATTTAAAGACAGTAAACAAAGGCTTGAAATAAATAGTAAGTTTTCCAAGTAGAGAGAGGTAACTAGTGGGGATCCGCAAGGGTCAGTCCTAGGACCAACTTGTGGAGACCTTCTGACTTGTGCAGGTGGAAATTCGTTGAGTGAACATTGGCGTTGGAGGAGGAAAATCACGGCCCTTTGTTGGACATCAAAGATGTCTCATGAACAATGTGTGTGTGTTTGTGTGTGAATTGGAAAGAGGGTCTCTAGCGTTGAAATCGCCAGACTGGGTCAAAAGAAACCCCCCTCCAATTCAGAATCCATCTCTGAGCTGAGCAAATGCCACAAGGTGTACAAACCAGGAGAAGTAGGTGGGGATCAGCCCTACTCCCATTGCAATTACTTCCTGACCATTAGTGGTTTTGTAACACCCCGAATCATGGGGTTTAATATCCCTCCCAGAATTGTTTGTTTGTTTGAGTGATATTCCTCATAGCTTTGGAAATGTCCATTCCCTCTTTTAATTTTGACAAGTTTCAGCCTGGACACCATCCTGCGGCGATGAGTTGCTACTTCCTGAATGTGTGACTATGTCTTTGGTTCATATTTGAATGAAATGTCATGGGCTTTCTCTTTGTTGCTAGGCCAGGTGACAGGGAGGACAGAATCCCTCAAGCTCTTTTCTCTGTCCCATTTTCATTGCATCATGCTCCTGCTTGCACTTTATACACCACTCAGCTCTCTATCCTCTCTGCACAGGAGACTTTTCTGGAGTCTGACATGTTCCCGAGCCCCTGCTGAGGCCACATTTCCCATGAGGCGTTGTGGAGGGGCAAGGCTGCAGGCAGGGCCCAGATGCAGATAAAGGGCTGTGAGCATGTTTCCAAACTGGTACCAAGTCCCCTCTTCTCCGGCTCTTCAATGAACTGAGCAAACCAAGCCCCTCTGGTCTCTCAGGTAGGTTTTTCAGACGTCCTGCATCCCTGCTGTCACAGCCGCTGTGTCTAGCTGCCTTTTCCAGTCACTGACTCAGGTCCGACCGTTCTCTGCTAGGCCGAAGAACCGCTGTGCAATTTTGTTTCCCGCTTTGGTAGTACAGGATACGGCTAGCATGGGATCGAGTCGCCCTTTCACATTCTCTTTGTTCCACTAACTAGCTTGAGCGCCTGGCATGTCTCACAATCAAACAGGTTTTCTGATCCTTCAGGCATTTCTGGGGCTCTGGTGTGAACTCCCTCCACTTGACCAAGCCTTCCCGCCCCCTTCATGCCAGTTCCATTGATTCCCAAGCGGATGGTTATTTCAGCACCTTCCATCTCACTTTAGACTTCATCTGTGACTTTTTCATCCCTATATGGGCCCTGCTGAGAACAGGATTACCTGCATTTCCTTAGGTGCGCCTGTCACATTTGGAGCAGCTCGATAGTACAACAGTAACTAGAAATCAGTGTCATGCTTTAGGGATTTACTTGGATGCCCCTTTGGCAAATTGGAGGCTCAGTCTGAATTCAACGAGGCAGAACTGAAAAAAAGACAAGGTTGAAATACTTCACTTAGAATCATAGAATCATTGAATACTAGGACTGGACCGGACCTCGAGAGGGTCATCCAGTCCAGTCCCTGCACCCATGGCAGGGCCAGATACTCTCTTGACCATCCCGGATAGACATTTATCTAACCTACTCTTAAATATCTCCAGGGATGGGGATTCCGCAGCCTCCCTGGGCAATTTATTTCTGACAGTTAGGAACTTTTTCCTAATGTCCAGCCTGAACCTCCCTTACTGCAGTTTAAGCCCATTGCTTCTCGTTCCATCCTCAGAGGCCAAGATGAACAAGTTTTCTCCCTCCTTCTTATGACACCCTTTTAGATCCCTGAAAAAGTCCTTAGGGAGGGAAAGTTCAGGACATAGCTGCAAACTGGGGACTAACTGGGCAGGGAACAGCACAGTTGATGGGGTTCTGAGGGTGACAGCTCAGAGTGACTGTGAGTGAAGCAGCTCTGACAATACTGTGCTCACAGGCTGGGGTGGGAACAGGAGCGGCGTGGCTCTGATATGGAAGGGGAGGGTCCCGCTCTGCTTTGCGCTGGTGAGCTCTCACATGGACCAGTGGGTCCAGACAAGCTGTGGGCAAATGGGAGAGAGTCTGGGGAGAACGGACAAAGGGGAAAAGTTTAGAAATCCTGCTCTGGCAGGTTAGAAAAATGGGGCAGGATTGGCCTAGACAAAAGAAGGCAGAGGAGAAACTGATGACTGGCCTCTCGCACTCAAAAGGCTGCTGGCTGGCCACAGCTAGGGTGCCAGTCTGGCAGGCAGAGGAATACCGAATCCAGAGTCTATGAGTCCCAGCGACGCACGGTCAGACCAGAGGGACACTGCATGTTTACACAGTGACGGTCTGTGCCCATGAGCAGAACGGAGCCAGGGTTGAATGGGTGTCTCCACTGTGGGACAGTTTAAATCGAGATCGAGCTGTTAAACTGTTCCCCAAAGACGACCGAACAGGACTTGGCTCCCAACAAGCGACAGGCGGAATGTGTCAGCGCGTCACCTCACTGTCAACTCCCTTCTCTTCCCATCAGGTGCTGCCTCGGCCCCCACCATGGACGAGGGCAACTGGACGTCCGTCTCCGAGTTTGTGCTCCTGGGTCTCTCCAAAGAGCAGGACCTGCTGATCATTGTGGTGCTCCTGGTCACCTATTTGGTGAACCTGGCAGGCAACTCCCTGTTGCTGGGGCTGGTGGTGACTGACCCCCAGCTCTGCAGCCCCATGTATTTTCTTCTCAGCCACCTTGCTGTGGTGGACATGAGCTTTGCTTCCATCTCTCTGCCCCAGGCCCTGGTGCACGCCCTGACCCAGCACCGGGCCATCTCCTTCACCAGCTGCATGGCCCAGCTCTTCATGTACTTCTCCGTGGGCAACATGGAAAACTACCTGCTGGCTGCCATGGCCTACGACCGCTACGTGGCCGTCTGCGACCCGCTGCGCTACGCCGCTGTGGTGACACGGTCCCTGTGCCTCAAGATGGTGGCTGCTTCATGGGCCGTGGTGATTCCACATGCCCTGATGTATACAGTCATGGCTGCCAATCTGCACTACTGTGACAATCGCCTACAGCATTTCTTCTGTGACCTGCCACCCCTCCTGCTCCTCTCGTGCACACACTGAAGGTATCTTGATGGCGCTGGTCATTTTTGCCTTGATCCTGGCCTCCTATGTCCGCATCGGGCTTGCTGTGGCCCGTCTGCGCTCTGTCCAAGGCCTGCGCAAGGCCCTCTCCACCTGCGGCTCCCACCTGACCATGGTGTTGCTCACATTCAGTATCGTGATGTGGCTCTATTTCCACCCAGAGTCCAGCGACACCCAGGGGCACGACCAGCAAGTGAGCTTCTTGGACAAAGCGTTGGTGCCCACTCTGAACCCCATCGTCTATAGTCTGAGGAACAAAGATGTGGCTGCGGCCCTGAGGAGAGCAGGGAGGAAGGTTCTGGCTTGGGGCATGTGAGTCCAGCCCATGGCTCCATCTCTTCTCTGGGCATGGACTTTCTACCCAAGATGTGTGTGTCCCCTTAGCTTCTCTTGGACACCAGAGTTTTTTTCCCCTCAGACATGAAGCTGGTGAAACTAACATATAGGTAGGGTCATGCCCACCTACACTCACTCAAGTACACACAGCCCGAATCTTTCCATGGAAAAGGAGTAAATTAATGCATATTCTCACAGGCATGGCCATGTGGGATCATCCCTAAGGCCTGTTGTGCAAATGTTCTTAGTACCCATCGGCTCGAACACTCAATGATCTGAACATAAGCGCGGTTACCCCATCCCTTCCAGGAATAAAGTTTTTTTGTTGAAAGTCTGTTTTATGGTTTTGCTTGGAGCGACAATGCCACATTGATGGCCTCTTTCAGTGGGAGGGTGTTGTTCCCTCTGCCTGGTTAGCCGTGGACAAAACACAGTTCTCAGCCTTGCCATATCCCTAACCTAGCAGAAGTACAACAGCTTAGGCTGTGCCAGCCCTCTGGAGGGTGTGAGTGAAGGCTCTATGAGTCCAGACCAGACATGATCAACTACTGGAGGAAGGTTCGGTGAGGCAAGGCAAAGCCTGCCAGAAAGCCTTTGGAGAGCAATCCCACTCTGCCATCACACTCTTAGGTGTCCTCTGGAAGCAGTGAGCCGTGTGTAGTAGCATTTTGTCGAGTTTACTAATTTTTTGTGACCATGCTGTGTATTTTCTAAGTTTATATGGGGGAAAGCTGATCAATGCAGAGGAACACATGGATTGGACAGAGATGTCTCTTAGAGTAGAGTCTATTGATATAGATTCTCTAGGTTTGAGACAGGAGGAGAGGATGGAAGAGGATAAAATATGGGCCAGTTCAGACAAAAAACATTCCCATAAAAAAGAATCTGACACATCAGAAAAGGGCAGACAAACATTGTCAAGTTTTTAAAGTGCTTGTACACAAATGCTAGAAGTTTAAATAATAAGATGGGTGAACTAGAGTGCCTCGTGTTAAAGGAGCATACTGATATAATAGGCCTCACAAAAACATGGTGGAGCGAGGACAATGATTGGTACACAATCATTCCGGGGTACAAAATCTATCCAAAGGACAGAACAGGTCATGCAGGTGGGAGGGTGGCACTATATGTAAAAGAAAATGTGGAATCAAATGAAGTAAAAATCTTAAATGAATGAAGATGTTCAATGGAATCTCTATGGATAGTACTTCCATGCTCTAATAAGAATGTAACAGTAGGGATTTATTATCGACCACCTGACTGGGATAGCGATACTGACATTGAAATGCTGAGGGAGATTACAGAGGCTACCAAAATAAAGAACTCTATAATAATGGGGGATTTTAATTTTCCCTATATTGACTGCATACCTGTCACTTCAGGAAGAGAAGTAGAGATAAAATTTCTCAATGGCTTAAATGACTGCTTCTTGGAGCAGCTGGTACAGGAACCCATAAGGGGAGAGGTAATTCTCGATTTAGTCCTGAGTGGAGCGCAGGATCAGGTCCAGGAGATAACCATTAAAGGACCGCTTGAGAAGTGTGACCGTAATATAATAACATTTAACATTCCTGTGGTGGGAAGAACACCTCAGCAGTCCAGAACTGGCATTTAATTTCAGAAAGGGCAATTACACAAAAATGAGGAGGTTAGTTAAACAGAAATTAAAAGGCACAGTGACTAGAGCCAAATCCCTGCAAGTTGCATGAAAACTTTTTAAAGACACCATAATAGAGGCAGAACTTAAATGTATACCTCAAATTAAAAAACATAGCAAGAGACCTAAAAAAGAGTCACCGTGGCTTAACCACCATGTAAAAGAAGCAGTAAGGGACAAAAAGGCATCTTTTAAAAAGTGGAAGTCCAATCCTAGCGCGATAAATAGAAAGGAACATAAATACTGTCAAATCAAGTGTAAAACTGTAATAAGAAAAGCAAAAAAAGATTTTGAGGAACAGCTAGCCAAAAACTCAAAAAGAAATAACAAAATATTTTTTAAGTACATTAGAAGCAGGAAGCCTGCTAAAAAATCTGTGGGTCCCCTGGACGATCGAGATATAAAAGGAGCAATCAAGGACGATAAAGCCATTGCGGAGAAACTAAATGATTTCTTTGCTTTAGTCTTCACGGCTGAGGACGTTGGGGAGATTCCCAAATCTGCACCATCCTTTGTGGGTGATGAATCTGAGGAACTGTCCCCGATTGAAGTGTCATTAGAGGAGGTTTTGGAACAAATAGAAAAAAGTAATGTCAACAATCTCCGGGACCGGATGGCATTCATCCAAGGGTTCCAAAAGAACTCAAATGGGAAATTGCTGAACTATTATCTGTTGTTTGTAACCTATCCTTTAAATCGGCTTCCGTACCTAATGACTGGAAGGTAGCCAACGTGACACCAATATTTAAAAAGGGCATTAGAGGCGATTCTGGCAATTACAGACCGGTAAGTATAACTTCAGTACCAGGCGAATTAGTCAAAACAATAGTAAAGAATAAAATTGTGAGGCACGTAGAAAAACATAATTTGCTGGACAAAAGTCAACATGGTTTCTGTAAAGGGAAATCATGTCTTACTAATCTATTAGGGTATGTCTACACTAGCCACCCTAGTTCGAACTAGGGTGGCTAATGTAGTCATTCAAACTTGCAAATGAAGCCCGGGATTAAAATATCCTGGGCTTTATTTGCATGTTCCCGGGCGCCGCCATTTTTCAAAACCTGGTAGTTCGGACTCCCTGCCCGCGGCTACACGTGACATGGGCTAGGTAGTTCTAACTAAAGCCCCTAATTCAGACTACCGTTACTCCTCCTGCAATGAGGAGTTAACAAACAAGGGGTTAACAAATATGCAGACAAGAGGGAAAGTGGAATGCCTGAGTTACCATGTATGGGGATTGGACAGTACAAGGGAGAGATGTAGAGGACTTGGCGACTGGCTGCTTATCATGGTCCATGAGGAGACATGATGACAGCAATCCATGGATCTCAGAGATCCCCTGCGCCCCCAGCCATGGGAAGGCTCAGATGAGCGCTAATGAATGTTTTCTTAGTCAAAGTCTCCCAGGGGCTAATTAAGGCTGGTTCTGTTGCCCCTGGGAACTGGTTTCTGGGGTTCATCTTCACACAGGATCAGCCCGTTCCTCTGCAGATGCTGAGGGCAGGCAGGTGCCAAGCGTCCTTGTCTGAGGTGAGGCTGGGTATCAGGGTGTGTGTTGGGGCAGGGGAGAGGCTGGGATGGCAATGCCGTCTGGATGGAGGCATGCAGGGGTAGGTCCCAGCACAGCAGGGAAAACCCCCACGTCTCTTGTGTTCCTCTATCCCTCTGGCACAGAGATGTTCCCCACCCACAGTCATCTTGGACAGTCCTCACCCAGCCCCTCCCCTCTTTGGGCAGTCTCACCAGTCTCTCTGTCTAGACAGGTGTTTTGACGGTTCTTGGAACAGGGCCCTAGGCACCGGTGGGTCCCCACTCAGACTAAATTCTGTCTCCATTCTGCATCCTTCCCTCACATGGGGGGTGGGTGGGGATCTTTGGACAACCAGCGTCTGCCTCCCTTGTGACCTTCCACAGGTGTATTGATTTCCAGAGGAGACCAGTTCTCCACAGTGTCAGGGGCTCTAACCGAGAGCTCGCAGTGCGGACGTGTGTTGTGCCCAGCCCCCTGAAAAAGACCCTGCAAAATGGAGCATTTTCCCCGAACATTTCCAAGGCTTGTCATGGAGAAAAGGGGCCATTTCCTGCTATATCCTCCGGCAACCGTACTGAATTCTGTTGAGTTCTCTGTGGGGTCCTTTGCATTCCCTGCAAAGGTTCTGTGTTACTGGGGTATGGGATGATATGGAGAGTTTCTAAGGAGGCCAGTGGGATGGGATGCGTTATGGCCGGACACTGAAGCCAGAAAAAATCAGCCTGGAAAAAAACAAAGGCTGGTTATATAACTAGGAGCCTAATTAGTGAGTGACACAATCTGCCAGTGGGTGCAGTGGATTCACCACGCCTGCCTGTTTTCAGCCGAAATGGGGTGCTTGTTTAAAAGAGTCGTGCTGGAAATGAAATGCAGGGAGAGCTTTAGTTTTGGCTCCCAGCCTTTCCAGACAACTGCATCCCTTTCAGGACACTGATTTATTTTGCCTCCCCACCTACGTTTCCCCTCACTTCTCAAGGACTTGCTTAGGAAAATTCCAAGGAACGATACGAAGGCGTCACACTCGTTGTTATTGACATTCTCCTTTGTACCAGATAATTATAAAATGAACCATTTGAAATGTGGCCGTTGCACTGACATATCTGTGCATAGTTCGCAGAACAGCATAAACAAGCCCCTGTCAGTATGAAATGTCAGTCTGGACTGACTTCCCTAGTGCTTTTTATGGAGCCTGTGGTAAGAGGGGGCAAATATCTCACCTGGTGGGGAACTTCTGACTTGTGCAGGTGGAAATTTGTTGAGGGAAAGATGGGGTTGGCGGAGGAAGATCACGGCCCAGTGTTGGTCATCAAAGATGTCTCATGAAGGATGTCTGAGTGCTTGTGTGTGAGTTGGAAGGAGGTCTCTGGTGCAGAAATGGCCAGACTGGGTCAAAACAAACCCCCTTCCCATTCAGAATCCATCTCTGAGTTGAGCAAATGGCACAAGGTTTAAAAACCTGCAGAGGCAGGTGGGGATCAGCCCTTCACCTATTGCCATTACTTCCTGATAATTAGTGTTTTCATAACACCCAGCATCATGAGGTTTAATATCCCTCCCACAACCGTTTGTTTGTTTGTTTGAGTGATATTCCTCACAGCTTAGGAAATGTCCATTCCCTCTTTTCATTTTGATAAGTTTCAGCCTGGATACCATCCTGTAGCGATGAGTTCCCTAGTTCCTGAATGTGTGACTATGTCTTTGGTCAATATTTGAATTTAATGTCATGGGCTGTCTCCTTGTTGCTAGGCCAGGAGTCAGGGAGGGCAGAATCCCTCAAGCTCTTTTCTCTGTC